AAAAAACATATTACCGACAATCACATAAAATTTTCGGTAAATGTAATTACCGAAAATTTACTGCGGATCAACAAAAAATTTAATCACGTGTCCCACTAATTTTGAGATCAGCTGTAATATACACAAAAACGTCTGATGGCCGGGCTTGGTCGCACCCTACCGCTGCTGAATAGTGGTTAAGTAAACTCGTTACTTTTATCCCCTTAAAATAAAAGTTTTTATAAATCTTGTCGTCATTAGATGTACTTTCAATATCACACAAATCACGTGATCATGTAACATTTTGTGTAGCCTAAATCTTATCACGAGGTAAAGACAATGCCCGAAGTACCGTGTATAATTGTGGTTCGATAAAGTTAAAGAAATTCATAAATTTAACAAAGAATTTTGGGGATTTTTTCTAATTTACATGGATAAATATCAGGTATTTTTTTTTTCCTACTTTCATACTTGATATTTTTGCGGCACAGGGCTCCATTTATACTCGATATTTCGATATTTCCACTTATTTACAGAAAATTGAAAAGCTGGGAGAAGGTTTATCTTTATTATAATGACACGTTTGCCGACGCAGCTTACTGCAAATCTATATACTAATGGTGTGTTTCGCTCATACTGTGCTTAAGGAACGTATGGAATTGTGTACAAGGCACAAAATAAGGATACAAATGAGGTGGTTGCTCTGAAACGTATAAGACTGGATAATGAGGAGGAAGGGGTAGATCGAATATTCATTTTTGTCTCTGATCAAATCTCATGATATTTTACCTATAGCATAATAAATTGACAAATCGAATCGATTTAAGGTTCCATGTACTGCCATTCGTGAAATATCATTACTGAAAGAGTTGAAACACGCAAACATAGTAAGGTAGATATAAATTTTATTGATAACTTTTTCATTATGTATTTTTCATGCGTGAAATTAATTGAGTCATTTTGCAAAAAGACTTTATGATGTCTTACATACGGAGAAAAAATTGACATTAGTATTTGAATATTTGGATTCGGATTTAAAGAAATTCTTAGATACTTACGGAGGTGATCTAGACGTACCAACAATCAAGGTGCTAATATAATTGATAGTTTTTTCTTTTTTATTCAATTTATTAAAACCGCATCTTCCATTAAATTTACATTATTTACGTAACAGCAATTAATGTACCAACTTTTGAAAGGAATTGCTTTTTGCCATGAGCATCGGGTCTTGCATAGGGTAGCTACAGATTAGAGATTACACAAATAATTATTTTTATATTAGTTATCATGTTACAAGCATAATAATTATCGAGTCTAAACTGATAGGATCTCAAGCCACAAAATTTATTAATCAACAAGGTAGGTCTTCCTTTTTTTTTTTTTTTTGTAAAAAATCGATTATAAATGGTTATACATTTATATTATCAAAAAATTAGAAATGCGAGTTGAAATTGGCTGATTTTGGTCTTGCGCGTGCTTTTGGGATTCCAGTACGCAGTTATTCACATGAGGTCAGCATAATTAATCCGGAAAATTACACCAAACCTAAATTTTATTCTGACTCAGAAAGAATTTTTATAGGTAGTAACGTTATGGTATCGTGCGCCAGATGTTCTGATGGGATCAAGGCAATATTCCACATCTATCGATGTGTGGTCGGCCGGATGCATATTTGCAGGTACATTAGAACATATTTTGCAAATTATCTACTTTCGTCAAGACTTTTACTATTATTATTGTTTGTATTTAGAAATGGCATCTGGTAGACCGTTGTTCCCAGGAGGTTCTATTAAAGATCAGCTATTAAGAATATTTAAATATCCTTTTATTTGATATAAAAATTTTTCGGAACTCTTGTTTCAGAATTTTGTGCAAAATCCTTGACTATTTTGCACAGTTCTAGGAACTCCAACAGAGGAAACATGGCCAAGGGTTTCACAGTTGCCGGATTACAAAGTATGTCTATCTTCGTTTGAACATAAGACCCATGCAATACAACAATTATTTTATGATTACTTTTTATTATGCATAGAATGATTTTGCTATTTATTCTCGGATGCCGCTGGAGACACTTCTTCCAAAGCTAGATGCTCATGGTATTGATTTATTAAGTGTGAGTTGATTAATTTCATTGTTTTTTGCCGAAAGCTCTTTATTTAAATATGAATATTGTCTTAATCTAAAATTTGTTCAACTTGTTACAGAAACTAATAGAATATCAGCCTGAGAAACGCATAAGTGCTGAAGATGCATTGAAACATCCGTATTTTGAAGAAATTCGCAAAAAGGAAACGTCACAACAGTCCTCCGTGTAAATTAATAATATTTTTATGTATCTGTGATGTTTTTTTTATTACCATTTTGGCTAGTGTCTATATAGTACCATAATATAAGTGGTATAATTTAATATCTATATAAAATAAACAAACAGAAATTACAATACCGAAGATTTGACGGTGTGAAGAAACCTTGATTGTACTGTATATCTTAGGATAATTTAATACTACTGTAAGTAGCCATGCGGCGTATCATCCATACATTAAAGTCACTATTAAATAATATTGGGGAGCTTACAAAAGAAGGAGTTTTTTTTAAGATCAGTTGTCTTTATATAGGGTTGGCAATTAGCATATATATATTTATTATCATTAGATATAAAAATAAATGACTAAATTAATAAATATTAATAATTTTAACCCAACTTAATATAATTATCCGCATTGGTCTAGTGGTTAGGATCTCCCGCTCTCATTAAGGAGTCCCGGGAAGGCCGGGGTTCGATTCCCCGATGCGGAATTTAATTTAATTTAATTTTTTTTTTCTCCGATGCATAAAGGTTATACCTAAAAAGAATGTTTGTTTATCCTTGTGTAGTGCAGTGAGATTTGATAATCTGCTTTACGTTAACTACCGACAATGGTGGATAATATACGTTCATTTTTCTTTTAGAAATGAGAAATGGATGCTAATAACTCAAAAAATTCTAATTTAACACCGAATTTAAATGAAAAACAACAAAATGTTTATCCGTTTTGGTTTGGAGGCATGTAGAATTATCGTATTATTTTAGAAAAATTTATGACCTCTAATTCGCTTTTAATTTGAAACAGGAGCGGCAGCATGTTTTGCATGCTTAGTCAGCCACCCCTTGGATTTAACCAAAGTTCGTATGCAAACAACAACGGGGATAAATAAAGGAGCTCTTAGAACTGCAATTGATATAATAAAAAATGAAAAATTCCCGGGAATATATAATGGACTTTCTGCTAGCATTTTGAGGCAAGCTACATATTCTACAATGAGATTCGGAGCTTATGACAAATTGAAGCTGTTGCTAAGCAAAAATGGAGGTTAGTAAATATGCTTATTATTTGTATAGTTATGAAACATCATTATAAATTTATAAATTCATTTATAAAACTAATATTTGTAATATTGCTAATTATTTTAGAAAACCTTTCATTTGTAAAAAAAGTGATTTGTGCAGCAGTATCAGGGTGCATCGGTGGAGCAGTTGGAAACCCAGCAGACCTTGTAATGGTTCGCATGCAAAATGATGCAAAATTACCATTAGAACTGCAACGTAATTATAAGAATGCGTTTCATGGTCTTTATCAAATTATTAAAACGGAAGGATTAAAGGGTCTTACTCGAGGTATGGGACCAAACGTGAATCGGGCCATCTTTATGAATTCATCACAAGTAGTATCATATGAACAATTTAAACAATTTTTTTTGGAAACTCGGTTGTTTCGTGATGATGTGGTCATTCATTTTCTTTCTAGTTTTTCGGCGGTACGTTTATAAATAATAATATATTTTTTTTATAAATCATTGAATAATTTCTATTTATCATTAAAAAATTAATTTTAGGGATTTGTAGCCACAACTATATGTTCACCAGTTGATGTCATTAAAACTCGTATCATGAACTCAACTGGAACGAAGGTTCATATTTCTTCTTTTTCGTTGTGCGGAAATTGGCTGAAATAGATTTTGGTCAAGATTATTCAGATCTATAATTTATAGCTTATTGCAATAGCTATTACAAATTTCAACTTTGACCAATTTTAACATCAGAATATAGGTTAAATATAATTTTTTTTTTTTTTTTTTTTTTTTAATAGCAAGGTTTTATGATCATGTTTGCTTCGATAATTCGTAACGAAGGACCTCAAGCATTATTCAAAGGTTGGGTACCGGCTTTTGTGCGGTTAACACCACACACTGTTGTGACGTTTATGGTTTTGGAACAGATAAAAAATTTCTATGATAGGCGAATTGAGCTAAGAATAAAAGCTACTACGAATACCGCTAATTAGCAATTGTTTATAATAATGGTACGTGCGTTATGACACTTTTTAATATATAATTTATCTTTCTTTACGAAAGAAAGGTACGTTCGGTATATAATCAAATATTTTTATAGTTAGTAAACATCAAAAAAAATTTTTTTTTTGATAATTTAGTTTAATTTCCTTTCTTATTATTTTAAAAGGTACGTACGTACTTAACGGGTCACTCTTATTCACACCAGAAATTTTACAAATTGATTTTCTGGTAAATTATTTAAATATATTAGAGACAATAATTTACTATAATAATCAAAAATAATGACACAGCCAGGATAGCTGCATAAAAACAAATACGGATGTTTGACTGATTTTTTTATACCAAAAAAGGGCAGACCCGCACCTTAATATTATATGGGAAAGTGAACCTAATAAAGGTGATCTGTTAAAGTATCATCATGAATTAATAATGAATAAATTTAAATTATTCGTGATTGACTATATATGGATACTTACAATGTACAGGCCCCAACAGACTATTAGAAACAGAAGAACTGGTGCTGGCCGTTACCTGCATTTGGATATTAGGTGTTTCGTTTACTGTTTCACCTGAAGATAAACAAGGTTTGTTATCTTCTGACTCTTTAATTATGTCGTTAGGGTCAACTGAAGGTAACCAAAATACCTGTAAAATAATTATATAATTAATGACAATTGGCTCCATAGCTGATATAAATTATAAAAATTATAAATTAATTCAAAGAATAAATAATAAATAAATTTTAATATTTCCAGTGTATGTATAAAATATCTATGACAATAATTAATGAATAAAATATTCGCGATTTTTTTTTTTTTTGAATGTATTGATAAAAAAGAAATGTTATTATCATTACAGAAATATCACGAATACTTTATTCTCTAACTGTAATTATTATTGTTATTTTAAATTACGAATATATAACTAACTTACTAGATCTGTGCATGCGCTAATCATCAATAATTTTGTTGGATTAAATCTCGTGACTTGTGTTGGTCTAACATGATGATTCAGTGTGTGAATAGGTCGAAGATCAATGTTTTCAGATGGAGTGTTGGATGAATCAATAGATTTTGTCGTGTCCCAAATTACTACAAGACCATCTCGAGAACCTTTATTAATCGATAAGATTGTGTCGGATGAAAAATTTTAAGCGAAAGTAAAAATCAAAGCAATAAATACAATAACAATACCAGACATTACATATTGACCATCAGGAGTAAAACTTGTCTCTTCACCTCCCAAGCATGCCGAAGCATTATCTAGCCCTACATGACCAATTAATCGTTGTTTTAATTGACCATTAAAAGCATCGACTAAATAATGAACATCGCCAGATGTAGTTATCAATATTTTTTGTCCGTCATTACTAAACTTTAATCCAGTCCATTCTGGGGGGAGACTTGTCAGGCCACTTGAATCTACATAATTATCATCGATTTGAAATGTATCGAAAGGTGACTAAATACAAAAATATTAAGCGGAATAATTCTTCGGTTTTGTTGAATATAAATAAAAACGAAAATTATTATTATACATAAATTATTGACATTTAACCTGACCAAATTTTCGGCTATCATATAACTGAACAGTTTTATTGCTACGTTTACCAATTGCAAACACAAGACCAGAAGGATCATATCCTAAGCAAGGTCTCCCGGATTGAATGTCTATAAAATCCTATAAATAAAATAGGGGTAATATAAAAAGAAATTAGAAAGCATCAACACACAAGTCAGTCTCGATGAATTTATCAATAATATAACCTAACAAGTACAATGGCGTTAGGTTGTCTTAAATCCCATAACCGAACACCCTCATCAATACTTCCGGTCAAAAATTGATCATCTATAGGTGACATTTCTAAAGCGATTACCCTATAAATAAAGTCAAAGATAATGTTAAAAAAAAAAAAAAAAAAAAAAGGAAAGAAAATATGTAACGAAAACTATAAGTACAGACCTACTTTGATGTCCACGAAAATATCTTATGAATTGGTTGTCGCGTAATGATAAATATCTTAGCGTATCTAGATCAATTTCGAAAGTTTATATACCAAAATCGATTCTAAGAAGAATAAAATAACCAAATACTTACCGTTACCTTTTGTTGACGCGTATACGATATCGCTACTCGAGTGCGTAAACCTAGTTAGATGTACACCATACTTTTTGCTAACTGAAAAATTTTCGTGTCTTTCAAAATTTATATAAAATATAATATTTCCTCGTTTGTATAATTAGAATTAATAGTAAAGAGCACGTGAAAATAAATAAGCGAAACTAAGACAAACTACCTTCCAGTTTGACAATTATATAAGTTAATGGTCTCGTCGGTTGAAGCTGTAACACAAAATTCCCCAGAGCAATTAAAATCAAGAGCTGTGATAGATTGTGAATTATCATAAAATTCTTTCGCTTTCTTGAGATTTTGAAGATGAGTTAAGCTAAGAACTTGATAGGTTTGTTTATGATTATTTAAAATTTCCATTTATAATGATAAGTAAGTTCTAATACCGAAGAGTTGTTTAAGAGAAGTTTTAACAACATCCAATGATCGACGATCGAAATCCAAGATTTCATGTGACTTAAATGCTATTATATTTGTTATTTATTAATTGTATGACGTTAGCATATATTATAATGCGTATTACAGAATGCGCGTTTAATTTTTTTGTAAAGGTTCGAGGTGAATATATGCATCTTATTCCTTGACTATGCGTGCTCATGAGTGTAGATATTACTCGAAAATAAATTTGGTTTCTTTTCACATTCATACTTTTGAACCTTACCGAAGATGAATTTGTCAACTTGATTACTATTGATTGATAAATGATTGATAAAGATTTTTCTTTCAAACTCCGAACTTTTTTAACAAATCATAAATAAGTAACGGTAATTCATTTAATATTCAAATATGTCAATACATAAAATATTGGATGACGAGCTAATCAAGTTATTAATCAAATTTCAAGAGAAAAAGACTAATTAATTGTACAAGTAAAATATGATAGACTAGTTCTGAGAGGATAAATTCGCGTGACTTTATGATAAATGGTAATAAAATAAATACAAGATATATAAAAATGTATTATATAATTGATGAGAGAATGAATATAATATAATATAATTAATGAGATAAAGTTCTGAATAATATATAAAAGCAAGTGTTAAAACCTTTTAATGATCTCATTTCCGTTTACTTGTTCTATTTTTTTTTTTTCTCCTTAACTCACTGATTTATAATTCGCTAAGAATGGCAAATAATAGAACTAGCAATCAAATAAATTGTGTCTCGCTTTGCAACACAAATAACTCTCAACAACAAAGACATCGAACAACTCCATCTCAAGCACAATTTCTTGAAAATTATTTCACAAACGTTGATGATTTTCCTGATTCAAATATGAGAGAAAAAATTGCTCTTAAAATAAATATGCCTTCCAAAAGTGTTCATATTTGGTAGCTATTATAACTTATCATATTAATAAATGCCATGTGAATTTTCATTTAATTTCCATTCATTTGAAAGGTTCCAAAATCGTCGTGCAAAACGTAAACAAGAGGATAGAACTCGTCAAGAACAAGAGACAATTCGTTCTGCGCGTTCATCATCTTCCTCAACTTCTACATCGCCTCTCAATCGTACTATCCTTTCGCAACAACAGTCACGTGCATCAGAATTGATGATTACTTCTCGCTATTTGATTTACGCTAATACTCACGGAAATCATAATCGCGGATCCATCGCTTCTTCGCGACAATCATTGGCTCACGTGAATCGTCAAACTACATTACAAAATAATTGTAAACTTGCTCCATTAAGAAATGTAACTTCAAAAGACGAAATAATTAACTCTCAAGGCGAAGGCACCATGCTTCCATCTTTACATCGCATCGTCTCTCAAATCGTTTCTACAACCTTTGGTGATAAAAATACACCAGCAAATCGTAACAATAATGCCTCTCATAACTCCTCTCCTAAACAGTTTTCTTCGTCGTCATCTTCATCGTCTCACGAACAACCATCAACGTCATCTACGTTATTTTGTCCTCCATTTAAACCTTCTTTTTCTTTACATCCTTCTCAATTCGTTTCAAATTCTTTTCATTGTTCACGCTCTCATCATAATTATCACTATCATCATCATCATTCTCGCCAATGTATTGGGCAGTCAGTTTTGCATCACGCTATTTTGAATGCATCTTGTTCAAATACTGCTTCATCTGGTCACATGATGGTTGACTCTTCTTATGAAAAGAACTCTCACTCTCACAGATTTAATACCGTAGAAAAAGCTGATGAGAGTGAAACGCATAATGGTGGAGTTGTTAGCATGAGGATCGATCGCCTGTTGACCTAAGCTTTTGTTAATTGATCGAGCTAGCATACTCTAGGTGCTTTTCTAGATACTTTTCTAGATTTTTTTTTTTTGATACAATATTGAACATTTTTTGCAGACATTGCTTTGATAGAATATTTTAATTAATTCATGTTTATTCCGTGCATTTTTTTCATCAATAATAAATTTTTTCATTATTAAATATAGGCTTGGAATACTATGCGTAACATATATATTGATGAGAATTCAAATTGCCGGTAATAAGATACTATACAGCTATATCAAAATATATTTTTTAAGAAAACTTGTATGAATTACAAAGCTTTTTCTATCAATTGATCATGCGTGAATTTTAAAACAAGATAATAAAGCTCGAAATTTTAATGTAATAATAATAAAATTGAACAATATTGTTTAGAAAGTTAATCTTAAAACAATATAACTCGAAACTTTAAATAAGTTCTTTATTATTGTAATCTTTTTTTTTAATTTTTAAGACCTTTTTCAATGCTCAATAATATTTAACTTTATATTTTATTTCGGAAATACTCTTAAAATTATTACAAATAGCGAAAGTAAATGGTAATGCAACTTTTATTTTTTTTTTATCTTAAATTTTTGAAACAGCGGGCATGGGCTTTCAGAAAATTGCTTCCCTAAAAATAGCATAATTAGTTTCGAAATAACGCCCGTGCGCGTCACGAAATAACGCACCTCATGTAATATATAAGTGCCGCCAAGGGAAAACCTATAAGTTGTACTTTTTGTATATTTACTTTTAATAAAAATATTTCAAAATCAGGCAATTTAATACCTATCTCTTAAACCGTCCAGCGGCCAAATATGCCCGCTAAAATATTATTTTTTGTATTAAAATTTTATTAAGAATGCTCCCCTATTTCTAAGCTAAAATTAATTATCTATAAAATTTATAAAATTAGGGAATATTATTATAGCACTATAGCATAGCAGAAGTTCGTTTTGATTGGTTGTTAAGAACCCCGGAAAAATGTCGATCATACCCCGGATAGAGTACTGGCTAATCCCGGACAAAATTTTATAACCCGCGAACTTTTAAATACACTCTAAAGACATATTATAAATTTACAGTATACTGTTACAATGCTATGGCCTTCTTTGTAACCACATAGCACAGTAACAAGGTCACCCGGTGCAGGGATTCTGCTACTGGAATATACACGGGGTGGATGTGGAGTACAATCAAGTATCCACAGCAGAAGGTAAGCAGTTCAGTATTAGGATAGTGTATTTTAAACCTTTATTTATTATAGAACAGATGATAACCTCCTTTAGAGATCCTAAAGAGAGTTATACATTACAAGAAAGAGAATTACAAGACTACTATAATTCTACATGAGAGAGATAATTGAGATCTATCTAAGAGCTATAGATATCTATATCAGATCTGTTTTTATAAGAAGAGATTTATGCTCCCTTTATATACCTTTACAAAATAGAAGAGGGAATTGAAAGAAATATAACATTGTACTTGAGGGAGTTGAAGGACATACTTGAGGGAGTAGGGGGCCGTGTTGAGGGAGTTGAAGACTGTATTGAGGGAGTAGAGGGAGTTGAGGAAATTGGAGGCTGTGTTAAGAGACTTGAAGGTATAGTTGAGGGACTTGAGGGTCGTGTACAACTTTAGCTACATTATGTGCCACAGTGGCTTTAACTCTCTTTTAAATACTAATATTAATATACATAATACTATCCCTTCAACTGTTTTCCAGGCAAATTTGCCTGGAATTTTGAAAAGTATTTACAATTTTTTAAATAAAATTAAAA